CACGCACGCACGCACGCACGCACGCACGCACGCACGCACCACACACACACACACACACACACACACACACGCACGCACGCACGCACACACACACACACACACACACACACACACACACACACACACACACACACACACACACACACACACACACACACACACACACACACGCCCGCACGCACGCACGCACGCACGCACGCGCGCACAACACAACCCGCACCACACAGGAGGACACGAACACTCATTTTCGGTCGTCAGCGGGGAAGCGCCTCGCCATGCTCTCTCCCCACGCGCGCCGAGCAACCGCGGGCAGGGGGGTCGGCACCTCGCGGGCCGGGTCATGCAATGGCAGGGCTGGCGAGGCGGCGGCCGAGGAATTCGCGCGGCCGCAGAGGCAAGACCAGCCGGAATTAGGACGACCAGGGGCCAGCAAAACAAGGGAAAGCAAAGCCAAACGAAAAGAGAGTGGAGCGAGCGAGGAGCGACTGCGGGCGGCTGAGGGGGAAACTGACGGACGCGACGGACGCGGGCCGACCAGCGGGGGAGGAGATGCCGAAGGGAAGGAGGGCGACGCAGCACACCACAGAGGCAAGGCAAGACACGAAGAGGGGGAGGAGCCAGCCGAGGAGGGGGGCGAGAGGGGCGAAAGAGGCATGGCACAGAGGCAGGGGAGACACGACGGGGCCGCAGGGCGGCCGAAAGCCCGCCCGCCGGGCACAGCGCGGGCAGGCCGCGCCCCGGGCGGAAACGGCGGGGAGAGGAGAGGGCGACGGCGACCGGAGACGAGCGAGGGGGGCGGGGGGGCACGCCACGCCGGAGGGCCCCTCGCGCCCAGCGGGCCCGCCTCACGCCACGGGAGGCGCCGCAACGAGGCTGGGGCGCCTCCCCCTGGCGCGGACTGACGGCGCCCCCCGATTGGAGCAAGTGTCCGGCGGCGGTGATCAGACCACTCAAGGACCCGTCTGCGCCCTGGCGCGGAGGGAAGCACCGGCATCGAGCGCGCGTTGACGCGCGCGCCCCGGCGCCGAGCGAAGAGGGGCGCCGCCCCAGGGCGCCCCCTGCAGCGGCCCAGACAGGAACAGGTGCCAACTGTTCACGCGCCCCGCGCGGAAGGAGGTGAGCACTGGCGCAACGCGCTTTGCAAATCAAAGAGGCCGCGGGGTTTGGAAGATGACGCGGAGGGGGGCCTCCCTGGCCGCGCCATGGCGGAATGTCAGTTGCAGCCCACTCCAAGCCTCTCGCGCGCGATGGAGCCCGGCGGTCAGCGGCGCTGACTGCTCCTGGATCGCTTGGAGAAAGGTCACCAGCTGATTGACGCGCTGGCAAAGTGCTTGGATGCTAGCAGTGAGCGCGGTGTCTCATTCGGCCTGTCGCTGCCCACTGGCGGCACTATGGAGGCGCGCGAGAGCTCGCCTGCTTTCCGCGCGCGGTGCAGTCGCCCTGACACGTCGGCTCTTGCCCCTAGTCGCGCGCGCCTGTCGTTTGGGTCCGCGGCGGGCCGCGCGGGGAGGGGCGCTCCGTTGGGGCGCGGGCAGCAGTCGCGCCCATTGGTCCGGGGCGCGGCGGGGCGGTGCCAGTCGCGACAGCGTGACTCTCAGCAGCGCAAACGCTGTCGGAATGGCGTCTCGGTGGCGGGCGGACGCAGCCGTCGTCGCCATTAGGAGAGACCCCGAGACCAAGGGGGTCAGGGTCGTCAGCGGCAAAGTCGCCCATGCGCGGGCGCCAAGGGTCGATGAGTTTGTCGAAATATTCTGGACTTGGTGGTTCGTGCCGCAGCGCCAATGAGGCAGGTGGAACACGGCTGGAGACTGGCCTATGCGTGAATCGAGCAACTCTAATACGATTCCCAACCATCTTGTGGTGTTGGGTCCTCGTTTTGAAGGGACGGTGCCTTCCTCCCCCCTCTCCTCCCCCTCCTCCATCCCCCCTGCGTTTCACCCGCCCAGTGGGGCGCTTGGTGGCCCCATAGGGGGCCCCACCGAAGGCCCCAGTGGAACCGCCTGCAAGCGCCCCCCCACACACACACACACACACACACACACACACACACACACACACACACACACACACACACACACACGCAGTTCAACGCTTCGCGGCCCCATCGGGGGCCCCGCCGAAGGCCCCAGTGGGACCGCCCGCATGCGCCCCACACACCCAGCACAGCGCTTCGTGGCCCCATCGGGACAAGCAGGGTGGGGTGAGCAATCCTTTGGTTCTCCCCATTGCTCGCCTCTTATACACATCCCCAGTGCCGGGCGGCGCGGGCATTGCCCATGCATGGGGCGGCCACTTATTTGCAATAGGCTTTTGACGTTGCGCCCCACCACGTGGCGATGTTGATCAACGCCCACTCGGCAGGCGCAGGAGGTGTCGACAGGCTACTACTGGGCGATTTTACCTACGCGCGGCCGCGCGGCGATGCCCATAGCGCCGGGCGACGGGGCTGGCTGGCGACTTAGCGCCCCCTGTTATCAACGCCCAGCTCAGATGGCTCGCCCAGGACGTTGGCAACGGCTGCCGATGGAATTGGCCGCTCGGGTTCCCCGCGCGCCCGCCCAGCGGCGCCCCCCGGCGCGCCAGCGGAAGGCTGCCCGGCCACGGTAGCTGCGCCGGCTGAACTCCCTGCGACGGCGGCGGGGGCGGCGGCGGCGGTCGCCGCGGAGCCCCCGCCTCGCGCTAGCGCTGGCGCGAGGCCGCGGAAGGCGGCGACTCAGTTACCGTCGGAAGCCGACCGCGCCACCACTGCAATTCATGGGCGACTCGACAGTCGCGTGCACCCCCCCCCGCGCCCTCTGCGCACGGTCGCGCCCTGCGAGCCAGAGTCGGCCCGCTTGCGGCGCGCCTGTAAATTGCGCCGCAGGAAAGGCCGCGGCTTCAGCCCTGCGCGGCAGCGCCGCACCCGGGGTCTCTCAGAAGGCCATCTTAGGCGCCCTTTTTGACGACGCCACGGCGTCGCCCCCCCGATGATGGCAATTCCTGCCAGGCAGCAGTCGCGATTGGCTGGGCGCACCTGGGTAGAGCCTGGCGCATGATTGACGCAGGCGCTCTTTCTTCTCGTTGCTGCCATTGTGCCGCCTTTTCTTTGTTCTCGCCAACCTGCAAGTCTTGCGCGGCTTCTGAGACGCGACAGGTGCGCGCCGCACCCAAACCTAATCTTGGCACGACCAGGAAGGCAATTCTGCCCCCTCCCCTGGCCCCTTCCTGTCCTCACACTGCCTTGCGCCCCCTGGGGCGGACGGGGCGCTCGCCGCGCCCAGTCATGGCCCAGCGGGCGGGGAGGGCCCCCTGATGTTCCCCAGGGTTTGCTCTGTGCGCGGGCGATGGAGACAGCCGCACGGCACCGGCCGGCGCGCGAGCAGCTGGGAGCGGACAGATGCGCGGACGCAGCCGCCAAGATAGCGCCGCGCCAGCCCCGGGCGGCAAGCCCAAAACTTGACTCCCCGGACTCATGTGCGAGCGCCTGGCCGCACATGCAAGCGCCCCCGCAAAAACAAAAACCGTCTGAGACATTCGCATACCAAATTCGCGCAAGCAGTTTTGCGCGGCATTTCGCCACATTTCGTGCCTTATGTCGTGCATCGTTTTGTTGTGTTCGTTCGGGAATAAGTTTGAGCTCGCGCAGGAAGGAAGTTGTGTTGGGATAGCGCCCGCTAGGCATTTGCACGGCAATGAACCTGCTATCTACCAGGGGCTACAACACACATGTCACGCTACGCGCAGACAAGACACGACTGCACGGCAACGCGCGACCAGCGGATCCCTCCGCGCTCGGCAGCGCCACTGACGCAGCCAAAATATCCCGATCTCGTTTGGAAAGGGTTTCGCGCACGCCTCCTTTTCGTTACCAGGGTTGGACAGCGCCGACACTGGTGGTCCCACCACGACATTGTGAGTCGCGATGGTCTTGGGCCACAGCGGTGGAAGCAAGCACCATCGTGGTGTGCGTCTTGGAAACGCTCGGCGGTCCGATGCCTGCGATGCGATACGTTCGTGTTGGCCCCTGCGGCGCCCGCCTCGTGTAGTTCCAGAGCTACCAGTCTCGCTTCCCGAGTGTCAGCTGCGCCCCTGAAGCCAGCCTTCGTGAAATCCGGATAGTAACCCGCACGGCCCCCCACAGGAATCCATAATAATCCCCATAATAACCCATAGGTTGTACCAATAACTACAACAACAACAACCACAACAACAACAACAACAACAGCAGCAGCAAGGATGATAATAATAATAATAACAATAACAATAAGAATAATAGTGGTAAAGATTATAATAATTAATAATAATAATAATAATAATAATCATTATTACATGAAGATAAAGAAATACATAAATAAATAAATAAAAAATAAATAAATACATACATACAACATGAATAAATAGATAATAACAGCAACAACAATAAGAATAACAATAATAATGAAAATAAGAATAACAATAATACCAATAAGAAGAAAAGAAAAAGCAAAACATAAAAAATGATAAGTTTAAGACTGTTCGCCCTTATATGCTCGAGTGTCCAATAACGCGTATTTCCCAAACCCTCTATACCCGCCCTCTTCGTCTTCGATCGAACTGCTTTTCGCGGGTATACCTTTCTTCCCTGCAGGCCAGGCCCCGGCAAGCGGCGGGACGGCCGCGGACCGTCGGCCTGGCCAGCGGCAGCGCTGATCGGCGGGGCGGCCGCGGACCGTCGACCTGACCCCAAGAGGGACGGACAGGGGACCGACCACGACGACGACGACGACGACAACGACGACGACGACGACGACGACGACGACGACGACGTTGAAGACGACGGCGACGACGACGACGACGACGACGACGACGACGACGACGACGGCGACAACGAGCGAAAGCGAGAGCGAGAGAGAACGACAGCAGGGCCACGAAGGGCACGAAGTAGGCAACGAAAGGCGACAGCGGGGACACGAAGGGAATGCGTATGGGGCCACGAAGAGCGCGAACGAGCGGGGGCCACGAAGTGCGGATAATGCGGGGCCACAGAAGGCAACGATGGGGCCACTGAGGGTAACTGGGTCACGTAGGGCAGTGAAGGGGGACACAAATGGCGACAGCGGGGCCACGAAGGGCATGCACATGGGGCCACAACGGGCGCGACTCCTGGGTGCCTGCTGTCGGGAGCGCGGCGCTTGGGCAAATTGCAAGAAATTCCAACGCAAGGCCACTCTTCAGTAAGTTGCAAGCAAGTCTTCAGCGAGAGCGCGACTCCAGAGCGCCGGGAGAGCGATTCCTTAATAAATTGTAAGGAAGTCCCAAGCGAGAGTGCGATTCCTAAATAAAATGCAAGGAAGTCTCGGGCGGGAGCGGGGGTCCTGGCTAAATTGCAAAGAAGTCTCAGGCGGGAGCCGTTGTTGTTGTAACCCGGGGGCCAGGGGCTCAGATTGAGCAGGAAGACTTGCCCTGACAAAAAAACAGGATGCGAGCGTCGAGGACACACCTTGATTGAGAAAAAAATGTCCACCGGTAGGGGGGATCAATAATAATTATTCATCAGGAAGGAGAATTCAACAACAACAACAACAACAACAACAACAACAACAACAACAACAACAACAACAGCAACAATTACTAGCACGTGGGGACACACCGTTCTCACCAGTGCCAGGGTTTCCATAGGAGGCGGGCAATACCCCCACTTTGTGGGGGGGCCGGTTCAAGCTCTACCAAATTTCCAAACGACTCTTCGCCACCACCCACACCCAGCTTCCCGCCCTATGACGTTCGGACACTTCACTTCGTGGCATGCGGACGACCGTGGCTACTATTCAGGGCCCCGCGGCCGACGACGACGGCGTGCGCGCGCGAAGAAAAAACGAATGTGTCCCGCATGGTATTATTTGACAGGGATGATGGCCCTGGCAGGTGCGCAACCGTTGTTGCAGAAGTTCGAAAAAGTTGCTCGCAAAAGCCCGTTTGACAGAAATGATTAAAAAGTGTTGGGTTTCCTACGAATCCGCAAGAGCGCGCGGGATGAAATTTTGACATTTTGTTTTGAAAAACCATTGGTTGTTTTGATGTTTTTATGTTAAAATCGCTACGAAAACTAAGGTTTTGGAAGGATTTCGTCTTGCGCGCGCGAATGTCCACTTTACCTTATTTTTTGCAAGGGATTCTTGAAGTTTGGTTATGTTAGAACAAGAAATGTCCACTTTAACTTATTTTTTGCAAGGGAAAACCGATCGTAACAACACAACCGGATCCGGACTCCCCCGTTTTGCCTGAGACTTCCTCACGAAAATGATGAAAATGAGGCTGCGGCCTAGGCGCGGCGGGGGGGTCGTGCACCAGGGGTCCCAACAATAATTATTCTTAAGAAGAAATAATGTTCAACAACAATAAGAACAATAAGAACAATAAGAACAATAGAATAATAATGAAAAAAAAAAAAAACAACAATAATAACAATAATAATAATGATGATGATGATAATAATAACAATAATAATAATAATAATAATCAGTTTAAGACTGTTCGACCTTAAATGCTCGAGTGTCCAATAACGCGTATTTCCCAAACCCTCGATACCC